CAACTTGTCCTTTATGCAGAGGAACCCTTTTCACTCCTGGTTTTTCTGTTGAAAATCCTGTCTTCGAGTTTAATGATTCAAGGGAAGAAGATGATGACCAGGGGCATTTTGGTCATTTCAAGCAATCCGAGGGTAGTATTGGTAATGAAAAGAGGGTGTATCCGGTTAGACTTGGAAAGTTTAGAGCCACAAATGTTGGAAAAAGAGATGAAAAGGAAGTTGGGGAGACAAGTAATAGCAATTTTGATGCAAGAAGATGTTACTCGATGGGATCTTATGAGTATGTGGTGGGAAACTCAGATTTAAGAGTGGCATTTGTTCCCAATAGTAGTAGAAGGGGCAGTTTTGGTAATAAAGATAAAGAAAATAGCTCAATTGATGGGGGTAATGATGGAAAGAAAATCAGCAATAGAAGCAAAGGTGAGAGCTTTTCAGTTTCCAAGATTTGGCTTTGGTCAAAGAGAGATCATCATAAAGGTCAAATATCTTCAGGTACCAATACCCATATGGTTAATTCCTCTGTTAATGTTAGTTTACCCTTTAGAAATGCAAATAATACTCATAGTTGACATTTCAAGAGCCAATAGTTTTTTTTTATGAAGTTGTTTATTCGATTTTCCATTCTTGTTTCTTTAGTGCAGTGAAGATTTTGTGAATGATTCTTATTTCCTTTTCATGATTGACTTTAGTAAAGATGGCAACATGTACTCATTACTTTTATCATTTTGTTTAATATTGTGTCCTTTTTCATTGTTGAATATGATGGGTTAAGTAATGGTTCAGACCTTTTAAATACTCTTATTGATTTACACATGATTTTGGTAAGTTTCATTGTTTTCTTTCACATGTTCCAAACAAGCTTTAAGTTTTTTATCCAACCGATATGAATTTAAAAAAATCTATAACATGTATAAGTATAAGATTCAAACCGAAGAGTTATAAGAATAATATAAAACCGGATTTTAGGCGTCACCCACTAGATCAAATATATTTAAATATTTTATTCTTTGTTTTAATGGAATTTTTAAATGGAGTTATCTAATTTTGAGTGAGTGTGAAATTATGAAGTGGGATCCATGAAAAGGGGAGAGTGAGGTTCATATGATGGAAGGTATTCATGATTTAACGCAAGGGTTGACATGGGATTAGTGCCCCCATGACTTGTGGGTCATGTAATTGTAACATGAATGTTTGGCCACTAGCTTCTTTTTTGCCCCCCACAAAATATTTAAAAGATCATTTTTTGTCATTCATTTGTGGGAAAAAGTTGAAATGGAACAAGAATGGTTTTGGAAAAGAAAAACTTTAGTGATATGACAAATCCCCCTTGTTGTCACAATCATTCTTTCCACCAAAATTTTGGTCCTTTTCTATATAATGTTTGTAATTTTGTATAAAGTATTTTCGAGATATAATTTAAGTATTTAATATTTAAGAAAATGACAACGTAATTACACCTAATAGGAAAGTTGAGCCACATAATTTTTTTTTTGGTAAATGTTGACGGCTTTGTTGATTATTAGTACAATCCAAATCCAAAAGGATAATAATTATGTTTAAAGTTTAAAATGTATATTGTTAAAGAGAAATAATGTTAAAACATGAGCGATATTTGTCATGGAATGGAAGATTGTCACAAGGGTATGACCAAATTGATATTTTTAATTTTTTTTTCTTGAAAGATAAAAAGTCGATATATTATAAACTACGACTAGTTATAAGTGCAAAGGAGTACAAAGGCAATATAAGAAAATAAACTTACATGATGCCAAAAGGCCATACATACCAATCATTCCAACAAATCGAGTAGAATTTTGCTCTAAATTTAACCCATAGGAAGACTATTGCCAATGTTTGTGCTAACACCTTTTTGAGACTTGATTTCACCTTATTGAAGATTGCCTTGTTACGTGCTCATAATATGTTCCACAGAGTCGCCATCGATATTGAGTGAAATATTTGTATCAGATTTTTTTTGTGTATCTAATTGTCGATACCATTGAAAAGATGGAACTTATGTTGCTAATATCTGAGATAGATAGCCAACACCAGTTTTGAATTAAATTTCATATCATCTTTGCAAATGCGCATTCCTCAAAAATACATACAAAATTGAATCCATTCCACCTTGATAGAAACTGCAAACCGATTGGACGGATGGTACTCCTCTTGCTATAGGATTAGGGTTTGTTGGTATTATGTTTTTGCCTCAATCGCCAAGAAAAAGCATATATCTTTAAAGTAACTGTCAAGTCCATGGAAATTTAATTGCTTCGGGATTTAAGTAGCATTCTGATGATAAACCATGTAAAGTTTCGACAGATAGATGTCAGATTCACCTCCATTCCACTCCCATGTACTGTTCTCAGTGCTGAGTTTGAGAGATGGAGGGACTGTTTCTAGGAAGTTTGATTCCGGAAGACACATGGGGATGAAGGGATTCTTGAATGGTTCAAGCCTTCCATGGCGAGAATGAAGAGAGAGGGGAAAGGGGGCCCGTTTGTCTTAACCCTCTTTGAATTTCAAACTCTGATGTTGGTGATCCATTTACTAACAACGATGATCTGGCCGATTTAAGGCACCCGATAATCTAATATCTCGTTTTACTTCCAAAATACATTTAGTTTCATCATTGAATCCGGCAATTCCAATTTCGGGAGTTGAAAGCTTTGTCAACATCAACTTTGTTAAAAGATTGGTTTAACATATATAATTTGTAAAATATAGACAACTAATTTAAAATAAAAATTATAAACATATAAAACAAAGTTAAAAAAAAATTACAAAAAAAATTGTAAAAACTAATTTTGTAAAAAAGATTGTTGTAGAAAAACTAAGTTTTAAAAATATATAAAAAGAAAGTTGTAAAAAAAATGAACCAAATCTCGTTAAAAACTAAAAATTGGGCCAAAACTGTTAAAAAGAAAAGCAAGGGACCATAAAGGAAAACCGAGAGATCAAATTCATAATAGAAATTAAAAAAATAAGCTAAAAAAAATTAAAAAGTGAGGTAACCAAAACAATAATAAAAAGAAAAAAGTTATGCCAACTTCGTTATAAAATTTAAAACAATAGGCCAAAATATAAAATATAAGTAAAAGATTAGATGGCATGAGATGTATTTGGTTTTTAATAGTAACTATGTTTTGCATTCGAGCAATGCGGTGGGAATATATTCGTTGTCAAGTTTAGTATGACGTATATATTGTTAGACGATTAAATTACGATATTCATATAATATAAGAAGCCATCTTATTGTAGAAATATAACATCTAAATAACATATGTGAAGTATAATGATTAAACCAGAAAAATTGTTAAAAGTATAGTAGCTTTTATTTATTTTGTACTAAACAGTAATATACATTTGAGTATACTTGAAGATATTAAAGGCAGTTGGGAAGAAAGGATAAACAGACAAAAGACATTGGAGGGAAGAAAAGAAAAAAGAAGGTATATTTCCCCACATATAATATATGTCGTATGTCGTATTTCCATTGAGCTGCTTCCTTTTATATAAAGTTATAAATAAACTTAACTTATTTTTGTTATAATTTGATTTTAGTTTATCGATTAACATTTATTTAAAAATAGATATAATAACCGAATTTCGTTCTAAAACTAGAGAAGCTGATCAATTAAATTGTATACAACTTTGTTATTTGGATTAATATTCATTATTTATATTTACAAGAATAACTCTCACGTCAACATATATTTTTGAAGAAAACATACATGTGAAGGTGTTGGGGATATTAATTAATTAACAGTATAATAACTTTGTTTGTTAGTCAACAAAAGTCTTGTTCCTCCTCCCCAAAAGAATCAAATTGTTTCACAATTGATGGACATAAACAAAAAAAGAAAGCAACCCTTTTAATTTTATTAAATAAATAAAAGGACAAAAAAATACACACATTCACAATAAACTGCAATTAAACTTGAATCACCTTTTTAAATATATATATATATATATATATATATATATATATATATATATATATATATATATATATATATATATATATATATATATTATTGTAATATATACAAATTATTATATTGTTTTTACTTTTAAATTGATATCTCTGTTTTATATATATATATATATTATTGTAATATATACAAATTATTATATTGTTTTTACTTTTAAATTGATATCTCTGTTTTATAGTAATCATACAAAATTGCCAAGATCATTTGTTTTGACTTATTTTGGTTTTTATTATTTATTTATTATTATTATTATTATTATTATTTTTTGTTGCATTTTAGATATATAATGATGTGCTTTGAAACGAAACTACTGATACGATATTAACTTTTGTCATATTAATAATATTTATGTAATTTGCATAAAATCATCTAAGAATTGTTTTTTCTTTTCAAACAAGTATTTCAAAAAAAAAAAAAAAGCCGTAAATTTACATGCTATATATAAAATAATTTTCATTCCAAGGCTCCCGTAACTCGTAAGGTGCTTGCATGAACATAAATGACAATCAGAATAAGACTTCCGAATTCAACTTTTTTTTATCTATGAAGACATGAAGTATTTAAATATATTTTCTTGATTTACTTATAATCGCTACAAGATATTCTACGAAATGCAACTTGTTTTGCCTTATTAAGACATTGAAGAAATTTCCTGTAAAGTTTTTTTCTTTTGTCGGGATATGTTTGGTTAAAGGAATAAATGGAATAAGCAGAAGAAAAAAAAAATTATTGGTTTGACTTGTATTAATAGAATTCTATGTTACAGATACACAAATGTATAAATTTAAATGTATCATAATGTAATATTATTGAATTTAAATCAACAATAATAGAAAAGTTGAACATAATAAAACTTGTTTGACATGTGAAATAAATTATAATAATAATAAAAATAAGGTTGATGAGTTTGTGTCTATGCCTATGATGGCAAAATTTGGTTCTCACAATTGAATACAATAACATCTTTTTTGTTCATATAATATACAAAAAAAAAAAAAAAAAAAAAGACGCTCAGCTCAACTTGTTAACTCAATATTCCAAACGCTACACCCAAAAATATACGAAAAAAGGGAAACAACAATTGATTCAACTTTCAGCCAACCAAAACTTTAAACTTTAAACTTGCACTAAACACTAGAAGTAGGAAGAGAGAGAGAAAGAGAGATGGTTCACAAGTCGCGAGGGAAGTTACTGATTTGCCCTTCCTCCAACATATCTTTGTTGTTCAACTTGTAGCTTATTCGTATACGCATCACAACTGATTTCTGCTCAAAACAACATTCATGAGTCATGAGTCATGAGTGAGTCGGTCATAAAACAAGAGAGTAGTATTCTATATTGAATTATTAAAAATAAATAAATAAATAAATACCTTGCCATGTTGATTGTTGGTGACTCGTAATTTCTGTGTTATAGAACCACTGGCGTTTCCAGGAAGAGTATTACTGCTAGCAGGCTCTAAATGCAGCTGTAGGAACTGTGGATTGTAAATGAGACAATAAGTTAGAATATAAAATTTCAATTTGGGTCCCTAGCTGATTTTTGCAATTTTGGTCCCAAAAGTCATTCTACTTGGACAAAGGAACAAAAACGTTATAAAAAGTCTCAAATAAGGACAAAAGTTGCAAGAGATATATATTATAGATATAGGGAGGGAGGGAGGGAGGGAGCAGATATGTAATTCAGGTTTACCTTGGGCACTGCTGCCTGGAAGACGAAATCTGTATAGACCTGGGAAGACTTATTTGTGAATTTTGCTTCAATTAGGGTTATCTGTGGACTTCCGGGTTGCTTAGACAGGTTGAACATGACGCTCAATGCACCACTCTCAAATGCAACAATTGGTGGATATGTCCGCCCATTGTCCTCTTCTTCTGTTCAATGTTCATGCATCAAAATTAAATATATTATATCCTTGCTTCCTTGCTTTGACTTATTAGGTTTTATCAAGGAGTACATACATGACTGGCTTATTAGGAATAGGGGTTGTTTCATTTTCATTTAATTTGGATTTTCGACAGGACTGTTTCTTTTATTTTTTATTACTTAATCAGGACAGAATCACTTGATAGGTTTCCGCTTAATGTATCAACACACTAACCCTTTTACCTTCTTTTTTTCCCTCCCATTGGCTTAAAATTGATGGATATTGTGAAATTTGTTGTTTGGAATGTAAGGGTAAAATGGTAATTTAGTATCATTCAGACTCAGACAGTTTATTTGGTCTAGAAAAGAAAAAAAAAAAAAAAAAAAAAAAGGAAAATATACAGCACTTTATCCATATACAGGACTTAATGGGGAAATCAAAAAAGAAACAACCCTTACCCCTTGGTAGTTGGTATGGTATGATAAGTAATATGTGGGTGTCTGTGTCTCTATTTTACTTGATACAGAAAGAAGGAAACTTAGTTTATTTTTTCCTAGCAGTTCCCCAAGTGTGCTGTTATTTTTTAAGCGTCATTTTTATTTACCTGAAGGCGGATAGAAAAAAAAAAAAAAAAGATATAATAAGACTTACTAGGTGGAGGTGGTGGTGTAGTAGGATTTGGACCGAATCCGTCTAATAGATCCATCATAGGGGAAGCGCCAGGTGTAGGTAGAGGTGATGAAAGAGTATCCAAACCACTAAAAGGTGAGGGTGAGGGTGAGGGTTTATTATTATTATTATTATTATTAAGTTGAGTCAAGGATAAGAGATCAGATGTAGATGAGCTTTTTTGAGTAGCAGGAGCAGGAGCAGGAGCAGGTGGTGACCCGCTTGACAATAGATCCAACAGAACATCTGTACCACTTTTATGCCCATGCATTGTATTTCTACCTCCTGAAACCAAAACACATACACCAATATTAATATCTAATCTCTATTATGTACTTTATATTTTATATTCATTTTTCAAACAGTAATCGGCTCTTTAAGTTACACATTTAATCCATTCATGGTTTCCCCGTGCTCTAATTATTATAACATCAAAGTTTAACTTTTATAATAAAAACTAAAAAGGTAATTAAATAAATTTAACCTGATTGTGGGGAAGAAGATGAGATATCAGCACCAACACCAAGAAGGTCGTGAAGAAAATTGGGACCTGAAGAAGAGTTAGGAGGTGGTGCAGGTTCATCTACACCAAGATCCAGCAAGTCTACTAGAGGAGCATCAACTATTTTAACAACCCCATTTGGAATATTATTAATCCCTGATGTCGAAACACCTGAACCACCTCTTCTTCCACTGTAACTTGCTTCATCAAGAACTGGCATCCTTTCAACCAATGCAGACCTTCAAATCCATTCATTACATATATATCAGCTTAGTTACATAATATTATGATGATACAAACATACATACATAATCATCATTTCATTTTCATACCTTAAATTTTGATGTTTTCCGATTATGGAATCAAATTCGATTGATCTCTGCTGCAGCTCAAGCAGAAGGCTTCCTTTAGATTGATTCACAATGTCTTTTATTCTCCTACAAAAATCAATAACCTCTATGAATATGATATCACCATATATATTATATATTTTTTCATAAACGGAAAAGATATTCTTAAATAAATAAACTTACTGTGAAGAAGAAGGGAAACGTGAAGACAGTTTTAACAAAGCCATCAAACACATTGCCCTGGTTGTAAGATCAGATGTGTGTTGCTTGATAGCAGCTTCTATAACATCAATTGCATCAGACTCCGTTACCTGTCATATCAAAAACAACTCTCAACTCTCAACTTTCAAGTTAATTTAAACATACAGTATAGATTTGGGTATTTCAAACTCAATTATGAAGAAGCAAACTCACAGTTATAGGTTCCTCGATATCAAGCATTCCAACATTGTTTACCAATAAATCACCGTATTCTCCAATGCACCATACTGCTACCCGAACTACAGCTTCCTGTTTGAAAACACGTAAACAACATATATACGAGAGGGCAAAAACGTCCAGTAAGATTAGACAAAATATTTTTGTTAAGATTCATGGTACCTGATCACATGATGTTTGGATTGCTCTATAGAGTGACCTTACTGTATATCCATGGAGGTTAGATGAATTGGTTATCACAACAATTAGAGCATGCCACACTTCGTCCTTTACATAATTTCCAGCCTAATAAACATTGATAGTTTTTTTTAGTATTTCAGTAAGCAAATGCAAAACTAATCCCAATTTAAACATACATTGAAGATTAAATAAACTATCATTTGGAAAACTAGTACAAAAGTACATACGGACCTCACAAAGAACCTTGAGCATCTGATCAATGTACCAAATTTTCTCTGGGGAAAGCCTAGAAGAAGAATGGTGTGGAGATTAAAATGAGAAATGCATATGATAATAATAGATATGAGTTATTACAAAAATACCCTTTTACTTACTTTTCCACAATGGAGCAAATTTTTGCAGTAAGATCTCCTTTGAAGTCCTGGTCACTTACTACCAGATAATCAATTAACTCCTTGGTCAAAGGTTTTACGTTGCTTTCATTGACCAGAAGATACACAAGTTCAAGGGCTCTTTTTCGAATTGAAGCATCTGAATCCTGAATATAAAAGGAGCACTTACTGTTTATATACATGCAATTGTGCAGTATTCGAATCCAATCATCATCATATAAATCATAAATGTTACTTTTTAGTTTACAAATGATGAATATTACCTTGACACATTCTAAGATTGTTGCGCGATGTCTCTGCACTGCTTGACCATCTATTGATATTGCTTTCATCAGCATGTTTAATGCAACATACCTGCCATAATAATAATATTCAATTGAAAGTAAATCATTTCATTTTACAATTTACATGAAGACTCACTAGATATTTACTACCATGCATGGAAGAGGGAGGAGATGCTTTACCTGATATTGTTGTCACGGTTTGATAAGAACCTCCCCAAAATATTGATTGCAAGAACACGCAAGCCACCACTATCTTCAATGCTCATAATAGTTTCTACACATTCATAAAGGATAGCATTCCCTGCATTCTTGTTTGACTCTGTCTTTGTTGCCACCTACACATCATTCATGTATCACAACTTATGATTTTTGAAAGCAACAGTCAAACCAAACGTGTATGTAGATCATATGATCAATGACTATAAATAAATCCCATATTAGATGGGGTTTAGCTTGAAATCCTTCATCCAACTATTTGTTGTGTACACATTTAATCACCTGGGATTTTTTATGTACATATAAGGTCACTAAACTTTATGTAAATAAAATCTCACTTGCAGGTCAAATATAGTTGGTTATTAAACAAATAAATAAAAGTATATATATATATATATATATATATAGTTGGTTATTAAACAAAAATAAGAGTATATTACTATTTCATGTATTTAACCTATAATTTATGTAATTTAGAAAGTATAAAAAAGTATATATGAATAATAACATTATATATTAAAAACCAACTATTCGCTATCAACATTTGATCACTATAGATTTTTCTGTTCATCAAAAGTCCTTAAAAAACTCTTTTTGTTGTACTGATGGAGGATTTAAAAAGTTTAGGGACTCTATATGTAGAAATAAAATCCAGAATGACCAAACGTATACACAGTGAATAGTTGGATGGAGGATTTCAACCTAAACCCTATTAGATATCATTGACAAGTTAACAAGATATCACATAAAAGATGGAAGCTGACCTGAGCAAGGACATCATTCATGAAATCACTAGCATCAGCATCTCCATGACCCAAGATCCGTAAAATACGGAGTAATCTTATTTGAAGAAAAGGATCCGAAATCCCAGAAATATCATATTCAGGAGCATATGGACTGTTCACTGCATCCTTCAGAACTTTTACTATGCCCTCTGTGCATTTCTAGATAGAGAATGAGAAAGAAACAAAAAGGTCAATATACCTTCCTAAAATATTCACAAACTCCAATCAAAATATTGAAAGAAAAGAGTCAATATACCTTCCTAAAATATTCACAAACTCCAATCAAAATATTGAAAGAAAAGAGTCAATATACCTTCCTAAAATATTCAAGGGCCTCTTCACTGACTATACACAAATCTGCACAAAGCTGGATTGCAGTTAAAAGAACTCCATGATGCTTTTCTTTGAGTAAGGAAGCAACAGGGTTTACAAAATTCTCTGCAAGGTCAGGGACTTTCTTTATAATCCTTATAGAGCATAATGCTGCCTGTACATTGTAAGAATGTAGATAAGTACAACATATTGTGGGAAAAAAAGATATCTGAATGCCCATTTTACAGATTTTAAATTTAAAGAGCCAAAATAAAAATTCTAACGAAATGAGGATGGTCATTTAATTTTTTTTTTATCCGAGCATAATGGAAATATATGAAAAATCATTAATGGTGTCAGCACAATTCAAAGACAATGACATTTCAGAAGGATATTTTCATTGACTTACTTTCTTGCGAACATTTGGATCTCGAAATTGCAGCAGCCTTTCAACTTCAGGTGCAAGATCACGAGCCATTTCAGCAGAACTTATATTGCCCAAAGCACAAAGAGCCAGTCCTACAATATACTGGTTGGTATGATTAAGATCTCTGCAAAATGACAATGGATTTTTCATCAACTGGAAATCCAATATCCAGGAAACAATAGTACTAAAGGGTAGTAGGTGCATACTGCTTGAGTGAATTGGTTACTAGCATCAAAACTTCTTGTCTTTCATCAAGAAGCAGCATAAGTCCTAGATATCCTATTCTCTTCTCTGGAAATCCAGGGGCTGCAATCAACTTGAGGCATTCCATTTGACCAAAATGTGTAGGATACCCTAACATGTGAATGAACATGAGCTTTGCCAAATTACGGTGTCTATAATCATTGTCATTGTCACTAACTGCTGCACGAATAGAAGCACACTCCTTTCTAACAACAGCACGCTCCTCTGCTGCAGTTTTACAGGCACGTATTGCCCGAATCATGTCCCTGAAAAGTAACAATAATCATCATCTCACAAGCTACACAATGTCATCTACATATAGGCACAAATCACAATCAACTTCAACTTGAAACTAATGTAATGTTAATATTGTAAATGGGTATGAGGGCAAAATGAATGTGTTGAGTTTTGTTAGTTATCTCCCTACTGAACATGTGCACATATTTTGAAGTTGATTTTATAGTCATTCCTCCTCATTTTCTATGCTTAGAAGATTAGATACATAAAGAAAATAATCTTTGAAGTTGAAGAAATTATATTGAACATCTTGGTAGATATTAGATTTCCCTCATAACATGTCTACATCTAACGGGGTGTCTGGATGTGTGTTATCAAAGTGATTATGGTGACTTGAAGAATTCGAATCAGGATAAATAATTAGTTGATTAAAGTTAGGGAAAGTTGGGAAATCTTACAATTATTGAAATAATCAATTTTCTTAAGGCATTCTACTCGGCTGCATGTTTAAAAACCCCATAAGTATACTTCCAGATTAGTTGCATTAGTCCATTATGACTCTTCTTGGTGGTTGTAGTTTGTGTATTTTAGTATTTGTAACAACGATACATCCCAAAAGGTTGTGATTGTGAAATGCTGGCAGAATATGATCCCTCGGTGGTTGATTATTAAGATATTTAACTGATTAAGTGGCTCTACAGCCTTAGTAGTTACAAATTATCTGAGACCATTGGCCTTGGGTTCAAGCTTTGCCCATCCACTTCTCATCAATGGACTCCATAAGTATATTAAGGAAAACTCTGCTGGACTGATAATGACACTGAGAAAGCTAAAGGAGCGAATGACGAATGGGATCGCTTAGTTGGATTCAGTAAATTGTATGGTTCTAACCTTCTAGGTTTGCATTCTTGATAATAATATTGTGATTAAAGGGCAGCTAGGAACAATTACCCACCATTGTTTTAGTTCATTTAGATGTTTACAGACAGACTTCCTACTTCGGTCATTACGCTTTTCATTCACTATGTTCTTAAGATATTAATATCTCCCTCGTTCACAGTGTAACATCTTAAACATTCTTGTAGCTCATTATAGTATCAAACACATATATGAGATGAGACCAGTTCCTACGCACCATAATTCAATTAAGTTACTAAACGAAACCATTTCATATACTCCGATCAGTAAACAACCGCACACTAACATTCAATTGAGAAAACTCGAGATCACAGTCACTCGAATTAGGTCAATTTTCGATTAAAAGAAAGCAACTTACCTTAGACGCGTCCCAGACGAGAAGGGATTCATGATTGGGTTCGTTTGGAAGCCACGAGAGAGCTCGACCAGATCCAGATTATAGCAGAAGACAAATATATAGAGCGATTACGTATATAATTATTATTATACAAGCTGAGAATCCAGTCGAGATCTGGGGGAGATCAACTACGGTGATCTGTGAAGAGAAATTAAGATCTGAGACTTGATTGATCTCTTCGCGATGATGTGAAGATGATAATGGTGAATCTGAGCATCAAAATTCTTCCATTTTCAGGGTGGGAGAAAAAGATAAAAGATGTGCGAGTATTTGTTGTGGTTTGAAAAGTTTCAGAAAAATGAAGTACTCAACTGCAATTTCTTCATATACTTCATTGTTAAAGTCGTTAAATAATTAAAACCCCTTCTCCAACCCAATGATGGGTGTAGCGGGTAAAACGCAGGGTGCTTGATGATCTTTTGTAAATAATGAAATTTGTAAAATTGTAAAATAATCAGAAAATGAATGGAATGAAATGAAATCTATTCAAGGCGGCTAAGGTTAATAGGAAAAATATATATTTAAAAATATCTTTTAACTTTTTAACTTATAGTTTATTAATTTATAGAGATATTAAAATAGATATTAAAATAGAATTTTTAAAAACATGTTTGACTAAGCTTATCTAGTGTCAAAACATTATAAGTTTATTAGCTTATAGCGTATGTTTTTGTGTCGATATAGGTATAAGTTAAGGGGGTATATCTGTCAATATCTTTGAATGGTGGAAAAGTAAGAGGTAAATGATTTATCAAAAAATAAGGTAAATGATTTATCAAAAAATAACTTACCGGATGTTCCAAACATTTATAAGTTGTTTTTTTTTTAAGTTTTTATCCAAATATTCTTTTTGACTTATATCGGTGTGGAACCGATAATAAGTCAAAAAAACTTCTTTTTTAAGCTTTCTCAAACACCCTCTTAATGTAGTTTGTAAATTTTGATTTGAAATTATAGCTATTAACAATGATGATAATTGGTAATAGGGATTGTTTATTTACTTAACAAATACTTTTTTATAAATATGTTTATTTGTTTATATAGTTATAATGGACATATTCGTACACAACATTTTTTTTTCGTACACAACAAATTGTGCTTTAAAGTGTTGTATTGTACAACTCTATAATGCATAAATTATTGTGTATGGCAAAAAAATTGTTGTGTACGAATCACTTCCCTTATTTGAAAGATAATCTTGTAATAATATGTAGAAAGTTCTATCATATTTTAAGATTATGTAGGACAATTGAATCGAGACAATTGAATCGAGACATCACATAATTTTATTAATGGTGTCTTCTTTTAGGAATAATGAAATTTATCAAAAACAAAATAAATAAATGAAATGAATCTATTCAAGCTATAACTAATGGGAACAAAAAGAAATATGTTTAAATATAGCTTTAGTGTAGTTTGATTAACAATGATAATTAATGGGGTGTTTGGGATTACTTGTTTAACTTAATAATCATTATTTATAAAACTATTTATCTACTTACATAGTTATAATGGATGTTGTCGGTTATTGTAGGTTCCCATTTTATCGATTGGATCGGTGCGGAAGATATTACCAAGAAGATAATCGTGTATGAACATGATGAACAAGATATGTGAGTAAAACTGTAGTAGATAAATAGAGAGATATAAAATATTACAAGAACACTCATGGGTTGGGAGAGATGACTCTCCCATGGTGGGAGAGATCCCACTACACTCTCTCTAAACTACAAAGTCTACATAGTGAACACTTACTTAACAAATGACCATTACCTCCACTTTATATACTAGTGGAGGGAATATGTTTTTCATACAAGGGAATATTCTAACATAATAAACACTCAACATTATAGAGCATTTTCATGCTCCAACAATCTCCCCCTAAATGTTCGGAAATGGTGAGGGTAAAGTAGTGATAAAAGGCAGAACATCCGACGGGCAGGTCCGGTGGGTCTGGTGCTGAAGTGTCTCGGAAGTGTTGAAGCTGTCGTGATCTCAGAATCTGGCAATGGAATCTCTAGCATCAAAGAACAAACAGAGAAACCCCAATCCCTTAATAAAAATATGAAATCCCAATCTTCGAATGTGATCAGTTCCCAACAACTTATCATGTTCACAGTCTCCCCCTCGACTGTAGAACCGAAGAGCACAATGTCGAATCACACAACGTCTTCAATATTCTGAATCAAATGATAATGCACCAAATAATCTCTGAAGAATAACCTGCTGAAAATGTGAACCATCCAAAAGTGAAGTCCGAATAATAAATAATATGAATCCGAAGACATGGTCTAGCAATGCCAAAAATTTGATCATAAGATCAAAAATAAGTGTCACGCCGCATCGCTAAAATAATCATCGTCTTCAAAATATCGCAAATCTAAACTCGAGCAATCATAATATCTGAACCGGATGCAAACACAAATAAGACATCCCAAAGTGTAGAGTCTGAAGATAAATAATTATAATCCGAAGAACATTTAGTAATGCCAAAAATTCAATCTGTGAAGACCAAAAATCAGTGCCACATCACACTACAAAATGAATCTTCGTCTTCAAATGTCTCCAACGTCAAAACTCCAATAATAAACCAGAATGGATGGTCATGATTATCCCCCTATTTTTGATCGACCATGCAATAAGATCAAAAATAATCATGAAACCGGGCAAGAGAATATGTCGGATATAATGGAGCATCGCACGCTCCCCATTGATGTGAGCATCTACCCGTAAAACGAGGATATTATTTTTTGGCCATGGGTAGACATGGTGATGTATTGTCGAACTGAATAAACACTGTAGAATATGTATCATAAAACCCGCTGCTGAATAATCATAATGTTGAACCGAAGTAATGCCGATAACCGAAATGCAAACTCAAACTCCCAAATGATGGTCCGAGACCATATATAAATAGTCCGAAGGGAGTAAAAATACGAACCTCAGAAATGATCAATCTCTGAAGAACATAATATGAGGCTGCAAATGCGAGTTGCTCGGTAGAAGTGAGACACAAAAATAATAATCTCTGAACCAACTGTGTCTTCACTCATAATCAGCAAGAAGAATAAAGCTTTGAACCATGAGGCTAAAATTGGTGTTAAAAAAAAATTGGTTTTAGAAAAAAAAATTGGTTTTAATAAAAAAAATTGGTATTAAAAAAATGAACGGTTTTAAAAAAAATAATAATTGGGTTTTAAGTAAAAATGAGAAAAAACAATTTAAAAGGAAATGGTTTTAAAAAAGGAATTTGGTTTAATTAGAAAGGTTTGAACCAAAAATCATGTAATAATAGTATTCTTACCTTATGCAGAAAATTCTATCATGTATCAAGATTATGTCGGACAATTGAATCGAATAAGATCATACCATCTTATTAATTGTTGTTTTCCTTCGCGAATAATAAAATTTGTCAAAAACAAAAGGGATAATGACTTGAAAGGGTAACATACTTAAGGAAATGTTCATATTTGGTCACTGAATTATTTTTCGTGCTTTATTTAACCTTGAACTTATTGAAACTTTTACATTAGACCACTGTGACCGGTAATAGTCGGTTTTTCCGGTTTCCGGCGTGGTTTCCGGCCAAACCTAAGTATTCCGGCCAAGTATGATTTTCCGGCATCTTCTCCGGCGACATTTCCGACGTTCCTTACCTTCAGCACACTTTAAATTTGGGTTTTATTGAAGGAATCAGACAAAAAAAATTCAGAAAATGAACTCATAAAGCACACCTAACTGTGTATTCTTGGTGTTTATGTGTGAAAATTCGAATCTTTGAAGAGGAAGATAAAATCGTTTGCAGTTTTGTTCCTAAAATCGAAGTTGGTGAAGATGAAGATGAACACAAGAAAACCCTAGGGTTATAAAGTTCGATTTCCTCCAGATTTCGAGTTCAAAATGGGTTTTGAAATCGTTTAGGTTATATTGATGTTTGAGTCGGGGTTTGTGAAAGTATTTCCAGATTCGAGTTAGGGTTTGTGAAACACTGTCAAACTCTGTTCCTTCGATATCCATCTTCACCACCACAAAATCTTTCTCTGTAATATTGTTCTTCACCTATTCATGAAATCAAACCCTTGAATCTTATTCAAATCCCATAAGAAACTAGTTGAGTTTGTGCGAATTAAGACCGACGCATCCCTCTTCCTTTATCTTCGTTTTTGGTGTTTGGTTGGCGTTTGATCTCAAAGAACAATGTCTCGTTTCATAGCCAAGCTGTGTAAGGGTTATCTTTTTCTTGGGTTTGTATTCTTGATGGAATCATTTGTCTGATTCAACTTCGAAAATCTCGAAGGGTTGGTTCTTTTTTTTTGGGTAAAAATTCTTGAATCATTTGTCTGATTCAACTTGGAAAACCAACTTCCATGCTTGATCCATAGTTTCTAGCTCCGATGTCGATGTAGATGTATCGTGCTTTGAAGCTAATATCCACCATTGATAGAAGATATTTGGTGTTCTTGAGGTTTCTTTTCAAAGAAATCCATGGCTTCAATGGTTCTTCAAGTATCTGGTAAACAATGGCAAATATAGAGTTCTTAGTTACATGAACTCAAGAACTCGTTTCTGTTTTCGATTTTATGGTGTTGAAATTAGATTTCCTAAGAAGATGCCAAAACAATTCCATGTTAGAAACCCAATAACTCAAAAAACGCGAATTTAAATCTGATGTGGCCGGAGAAGATGATTGGAGATGTCGCCGGAGGTAAGGAATGCCGGAAATATCACCGGAGATGGAACTCAAATCCCTCAAAACAGGTTTTACCTGCTATTGCAGGTAATAATGGTAAGATTTAAACAAAAATACAAGTTTAAGGGTTGACAGTACACCAAAAAAAGTTAAGTGACTAAATATGTACAAAATATATAGTTGGTTACCCTTTGAGGTCATTATCCCAAAACAAAATAAATAAATGAAATGAAATCTATTCAGGCTATGGTTAATAGGAAAAAAATATAGGTTTAGTGTAGTTTGCAATTTTTTATTTGAAATTATGAATATTAACAATGATTAGTAACGGGTGTTTGGAGTTGCTTATTTAAATTAATAAGTACTTCTTTTTTTATAAACATGTTTATTTGCTTACTATTTTATTATATGTGGAAACCACATACAAGAAAGAAAAATATTATAGCATTTTAATTTTGGAAATTGTCATTTATAATATTATACTTTCAGTATGTTAAAGTGACATCAATGTCTTAAAAGTAAGAAAAATAATGCACAAGACTTAAACCCAATATACTTCAGTTATAAAGTTTTTTATTCTTTACTGATAGGACAAACATGCAGCTACCGATGATGGTTTTCCATTTTATCCAATTTATTAAGTCTTTACGAGAATTGAACACCTGAAAATGATATAATAATCAATAACTAGCAATCTTCTAGATGACAACCTTACTGCAATTATATATTAATGAACTTAACTTTTATACAATCTTGGTTTGAAAACTTGGGCCATTGATGAAGTAACTACTTTCTTTCTCCTTTTCATTTCCACCGCCTTCATATACGTTTGTATCAACATTATTCGTCTACACAAAAACACATTACAAGTCACAACTTATAAAAAAACAATTTTAAAAATAAAAGCGCTTATATAAAAAAATACCTCATAGTTCGTTTGATCATTGAATTGAAAATACTCTTCACAACCTTCATATGTGTTTGTATGCACATTATTCGTTTACACGAAAGACAAACTACAAGTTACAACTTATAAAAAAATAAAATAAAAAATAAAAACACTTATATAAAAGTACCTCATAGTTCGTTTGATTGTTGAATTGAAAATACTCTTCACAATCTTCATATGTGTTTGTATGAACATTATTCGTCTACACGAATCAAAAGTTACAACTTACAACTTACATAAAAAAAACAACAGTTATATAAAAATACCTTATAATTCGTTTGATTGTTGAATTGAAAATACTATTCCCAATCCGCCATTACTCCAATGATAATAAAAACCTTGTGTTTATTACTTTTTTTTGATGAAAACTTCTACTTATAGTAAGTATTTATAATATGTGAAAATAGACAAGCACACACACTATAGAAAAACAAAAACGTGGATGATATATCTGTTTTTAGTATGTTTGTTGCCTACTTTTTATAGAACCAAAACATTTGCTGATGTGATCATTTAGAAGATAAAAAAAATATCTTGAGTACCGTTCCTCCATTCCTCCACTTGCTTATTGCTGAAGATCAATCGATGATTGTTTCTTTTTTATTTCTTCATTGTTTGCCCATAAGATGAAGGAGCATAAGTCAATCACTCATAATGGCATTTCCCGTTTTATCTTTTGTTGTTGTATAAATGAGAAAAGACCACCATCATGTATCGTATCTTTCTTCTTTATCTCGTCTGAAAAAGAAAATGGGAGGGGCTAGCATGGTAGGTTTTGCATGGGGTAAAAAGACGTGTGAGGTAGATGCATGAGGGTGGGGGATGGCTTGTACGAATTGGAAACTCCTCGTTTTCTTGTTTTTGCTTTCTTGAACATCACGTGGGGCATGGAGAAGAAAACAAAATGGGTATGGGTGTTGTAGAAGATACACAAACACATTAATACTAGGTTTGCATGGGAAATAAGTATAGGGTTTAGTCTTGCTTTGACAAAATTTCAGCAAATTTCTTCTTTCTGCTTGCGTCCGACACTAAAAACCAAAAGAAATGGGGTGTGTCTAGGGCTCTAGGGGTGAATTGACTACCAAAAACAACTTGACATTTAAAATGTTTCTTTTTTTTTTCTTTACAATAGACGAAAATTTAAGAGAGGATGGGGTTGGTATGGATTTAATTTAAACAAATGAACTCTTTTTTCTTTTTATTAAAACCTGGCTAAGAAGGTAGTGAGTATAAATTGGTTTTAATGAAAATTGATGTTTAGACTTAGAAAAGAAAGTTAAAACAATTGGTTTGAACGAAAATATTGGTACGTTAAAATAGAAATTGGTTTTAAAGAAAATGTTGTATTTTTGTTTTTTTTATTCATTTAGAAACATAGGATATTATGGGGTGGGTTTAATTTGTTTAAAAAAATATGGTTTAAGTTTAGGTTTATGAAATGGTTTAAAAATAGGTTTAGAATTAAATTTGGTATTAATTGCTTTAAACAAAAGGACTAAAGTTGAAAAGAATCGCTGAGCATAATAGATGTGAGATAATTTTACCATTTGCAAAGCTAATATAGGAATTTATTCGTCCAAATAGCACCACCCTTCTTGTTTTGTCAATATACATAATTTTATCAGTTCCTTCAACATCAGCAGCCTCACTTTCCCCTTTGTTTTGTCACTTGCCCTCGTTCCGCAGTCCCATCATCCATGGCTTCGTTTTCAAATTTTCATTTCATCATCGGCATCATCCTTCTTGTTAATATAGTTCAAGGTAAAGTATCTCAAAACCTCGTGTCTTAGTCGGTGTTTTTACAAATTTTCTCAACAATAATAAATTTCTCAGGAACTGGTGGCGAGATTGTATTCGAGGAAGGTTACACCGTCTCGACAGTTATCGACGGCGACAAGCTTCACATTAACCCTTACTCTGTCTTCTCCTTGTATGGATCATCGTCCGATCTGATCATTCTCGACTCCGTTAAAAGTACATTTTACACAGTCTCGTTTTCCGATTCTCAAGGTATAAGTAAACGGCGTATCGATTTTAGTTGAATTATGATTTTGCTTACCTGTTTAATACTCCACATCAACGATTATAGAAGTCTTGTCGCACTAACGATCAAATTCCACAATATAATGTAACAACGTTACATTTATTTATTCTGGAATAATTAAAACATAAAGAATTGTAGTTCTTTTGGAGAACGGAATACGCGTTTCCCTCGAGAATTTCATAGCCCTAAGAATCAACAAGGTTAGAACCAACAATAAAGAACGTGACGATAATTATACACGAAATTAAGATTAGATTGAAATCAATGAAGAAAACTTACCAATGACCAAGCTGTCCTAGAAAGTGAAACTTGCAAATTTGATGCTTCTTGAAGGAAAAACCTTATTACTTATGCAAGAATAAACAAGATTCATGCCAGAACCAGCAACAAAGAAAACGACAATAGTTATGTAAGAAAATCAAGAAAGAAAACTTATTGATGATCATGGCATGCTATCTCGTGATGAGATAACCACTGCATTGAAAGTGAAAGTAGCCATGACATGGTGCAATATGATAAATGTTTCTGTGTTTTGGAACAGAAGGAGCACTTTTGTGCATTGCTCCTTGCATCTTATACTTCTTTCATGTGTTTACATATGTATCAATCTAAGTTTTGTTTGCAGTGAGTGAGATGGAGCTCTCTGGTAATGGTGTTGCTGGGTACAAGGATGGTGATTTGGGGTCTGCCATGTTCAATAAGCCCAAAAGCTTTGCTCTTGATAGGAAAAACAACATCTACATTGCAGACAAAACCAACCATGTCATAAGGAAAATAACCAAATCAGGTATTCATGACATTGACTGATTGACACCACACTTATCATGTTCCTTTATCACTTTTTTCATGAGACTTTAGCAAATGTAACCATTTTATCAATTAAACAGGCGTGACCACAATTGCTGGAGGGTATGTACAAAAGACAGGAAAAGCAGATGGACCTGCACAAAACGCATCATTCTCTGATGATTTTGAATTGGCTTTTGATCCTCAAAGATGTGCTCTATTGATCTCTGATCATGGTAATAGATTAGTCAGACAACTTGATCTGAAGCCCAATGATTGTAGTGGCAGTTCTTCTGGATCTGGTAAATCTCTTAGAATCTTATGAGCCAAAAAACTTGTCACAATTCTCAAAAACTTACATGTTCAGGAGTGGGGTCCACCACAGCTTGGAGTATAGGCGTGATAGTTGCTTGTATTATTGGGTTGATAATCGGGTTTGCCATTCGTCCTTATGTCCTTCCTCATGTAAGCTTCTTTGATACCACAATAGCATTGTACTTTGAAAGTAAACAAAAGTAGGTTGCTATTTCATGAATCTAATGAAACTCTGTAGACAGGAAACAACATCAGGCCAGGTCAGCATGACATGGAAGCATTACCTAATCAATCTGGAGAAACAAGTGGCGACCTTTTGCTTCGTCATCAGAAGCGCAATTGTTAGCCATAAACTCTCCCAATTTCCAATCAGACTTTTGAGGTTATCTCTTTCTCAAATCTCTCTAATGTTTGGGCTTAACATCATTAGGCCTCCACCTACCCCTGTAAAACCTATTGTGTCTTTGTTAGATTGTGATGACGTGGCACCTACGTGTGTGACAACTGTGTCTTTATTAGATAAGTTAGGTAACAGTGAGACATCCATAACCCAGGATTTAGTTAACGAGTTGAAGGATTTAGTTACTTTTGATGCTACCCTTAAAAACCCTAAACCTTTGTTAGATCAAGAAAATGGTTATGGTGTCAAAAATGAAGAGAAGTCGAAGATAGATAGGCAGATATATGCTAACTTTGAGGGTTTTGTGGAAAGTAGTAGTGCAACTTCATCCGTTGTTGAATCCTGGGGGATTAGTTCTTAGTTTAGTTTAGTTTTGTTTTGTTTGTAAGTCATATGTCTGGTTTGCTACTTTTGTCTACTTGTTAATGTGTTGAAAGTTTGATGAAATGTTATGTAAAAAGTATGAATGATAGCTTTCTATTTCTTAGTGCATGCATGCATGGATTATTGATTATATTTTGGTACATGGTATTAGCATAGTCATTTACCATATAAAAGATGTACATGTTTTATATAATAAGTTAGTCAGATTTGGGTTATATTAAAGTGTTTTAGCTTTAGTATGATGTTAAATAGATAAAGGGGAAATGGGTCAAAGACAAAAGACACCAAACGTCTTCGTGCACGTGATTTACCAAGTATTTTATCCTATTTTATTGAAAAGTATTTTGCATTTTTTTTACTATTTACTTATTAAATAATATATAAAGAATTTCTATTTGCATTTGGTGGAGTGCACAAGACAAGAGTGGGATACAGATTATCGCCCTATCGCCCATCTTGGAGCTTCTTATAAAATCGTGCTTTTTTTTGTTTGTCTGGGTTTATTGGTGTATCACGTGCCTATCTTACGAAAATAAAGACCTGTATTGCAAGAGAATTTTTTTTTTTGGAAAGGGAACTACCATAACGACGGTTTCCGGGCCAGCTTTCGCGCACCGACTAATCCCCGCTGCAAACATGAGGCTTTGCCTCATGCCCTGGAGTCACTGCAGGCGAACCTTCATGACCACAAGGGCTGAGTGGTGCCAGGATTTGAACATGGGTCAATAGGTTATCCACCATATCTTCCACATGCCTTACCAAGTCACCACAACCCAAGAAATTTGTAGGGACTAAAATATACTCACGACCCAAATATATAAGAGGTGTTGACCTTAAACAGTCGCCTGAAAAGAACAAACTTGTCTCGAATAATAACCACAAATTTTCGAAATTTAAGAATATAATTTTTTCAAAATTACATCCTCTTCAGAAAGGTGGTTCAGAAATTGCTTTTTAGGATAAAATAGTTTGAAATTTTCGTTTTTTTTTTTTTTTTTTTTTTTTTTTTTTTTTTTTTTCTCTGTCTCTAGTAGTTTCGACTTTCGAGAATTCATGTGTTTCGAAAAATATCTAGTTCGAAAATTTCAAACTTGTTCATGATTTTTGAACCTGTTCTTTGACGTTTTTTGGGTCTGAGTTTGAACTTTTTTTGAAAAAAGATGATGGTTGGGAATAAGATGCAAGAGAGAGAAAAATAAAATAGAAAAAACAATTTGAAATTGAAAAAAATTATAAAATGATTTTTAGCAACGTTTTGTCTGAACTTTAATTTTTTTTTTTTTGGAAATTACTATCATCAAAATTCGTAGATATATTCTCAAATACCGAAGATATACGGTTATTATATGAGATGTTATTTTTTATTTATTATTATTTTTTATTTTTTTTAAGGGAGTCAATATTTCAAAATAAAATTTACTCCTAATATATTAATAATCACATGATTGACAATAAAACTATAAGATTTGTGGAAAACATGTTCATTCCCTCACATTTGAACCTAGATAAATCGCTTTCAGTACTTCTTGAAAACAGTCCCAATAAAAGAATTCATATAATCTAATAGGCCTAGGAAAGTCAAAATTTTGCAATCTGTCTCTATCCCATCGACATTAGACCCACTCACATACGTACAAATGCAAAAGCTATTTTCAGAGAAAAGTTTCTGATCAATGGTTAGGACTTGGGATGTTAGAAAGTGTTTTACTTTTTAATGAAAAAAAAAAAAAAAAAAAACTGTGCACTCTTGTGTTTTTATAAAACCAAAACTCCACTAGAAACAAACGTAACCGGCATCCAAACAGCTTTGATACCTCTCACCCAGACCCAGCTATAACTAAAGTAAAAGAAAGAGTTTTCATTTTTCAAAAAGAAAAAAAAAACAAAACTGTACATGTACACGTGATATGCCTCTCCTCAAAAAACCGCATCAAAAGTAACCTGAAAGCTAGCGGGATTACTACTAGGCTTAGGATCCGAAGCGTTAGCAAGCCCTGACAGCAGTCTCACCACATCCACAGTGTCATCAAGGTAATATTTGGCTTTACTTGGCTTCCTTCCAACTGTACATGCAAATATCTCTACTCCCTCTCCACACCTACTATTTGTATTTGTATTTGTATTTGGATTTGGAATCATATTCATTATACTTTCAAACATGTCCTCATCAGATCTATCATCCCCAATACAGCATACAAAATCCGGGGCCTCTCCTTTCTCAATCATCCCACAAACTACCTTCTCCGCCACCAACCCTTTACTCACACCCTGCCAAATGCCAATCAATCAATTTCCAAAATCGCAAAATCAGCTATACCCAAGGGGCCAAAAATGTATTTGTAATTACCTGAGGTTTTACTTCAACTATATGTCGTCCCCGTTTAACCAAAGCCGGCTCATTGGCTAACACATTCTCCAAATGAACCAACAACTCTTTAGCTTGACACGAACCGAAATCCGGATCCGCATCCTGATGATGCCACACCAAACCACTCTCTTTCACCTCGATCGTTGACCCATCTGTTGACTCCCTATATAGTTCCATCACCGGTTCCGCTATCTCCTTCCACTCAAGATCCCCACCCACCACCCCACATTCCCACTCCAAACTCCCACCCCACCTACAAACAAACATATCATCATATCATTAAAATAATAATATTAGTATAACCGGAGGGGCAAAAACGACATTTCAATACCTCATGAAATACCCGTGTTCCGCCGCTAAACCCAACCCCTTACACGGTGCAAGCCAATCGCTCAATGTGTCTTTCCCTCTTCCACTCACGATAAACACCGTGTTCTTCGGATCATTACACAAAACATTCAAAATTCTAACAACTTCCACGCTTGGAGTTTTCACGATCGACGAGTGGGCGACAAGTGTCCCGTCATAATCCAAAAAAATTGCGCGTTTATTCGACCGTTTATACGCGGACACAATAGCATCGGGGGACAACTTTCTAAAACCAGGCGACATCGACATCACTCTAAAACCCAAACCAAATCCAATCCCCCAACACCGTTTATTATCATGATCTTTCGATGCACGTTTCAAATCTTGCAAAAAGCTACGCGCCCAATACCCGACATTATGTGAACTCACGTATTTATAATGCTTTAAATGTCTCAACTGCTTTTCCGATTCTTTCATTACTATAGCCGAATTTAAAGCTACAGCAACCGATTCGATATCCCACGGGTTGACCCGTATAGCCCCGCTTAAAGACGGGGAACACCCTACAAATTCGGACACTACCAACATACTTGTACGGGCGTTTTCGTCCGAAATCGGCGAATTTTGTCTACATACGATGTATTTATACGGGACTAAATTCATCCCGTCTCGGACTGCGTTCACTATACAACAATCTGCCATCGAGTAATACGCCGACTTTTCGTAGCGCGCGACCGGCCGGTCGATCAAAACCACCGGAGAATATTCCGGTGAACCGTACGCTTCGTTGATTCGGTTTATAATTAAATACGTTTCACGTTTCGCTTCTTGTACGTCTTTTCCGGTGCTTCTTGCGGGATTCACAATTTGGATTAAAACGAGTTTACCACGAAGGGAGACATGAATTTGTAGGAGATACTCAAATGCGAGTAGTTTTAGACTTATGCCTTTAAAAATGTCCATGTCATCAACCCCGACTATAAGCTTCTTACCTTTGAAACGTTCGGCGATTTCTTTAACTTTTCTTAATGTAATCTGGAGGTTTAAAACGGATTCAAGTCGACCCATGTGGATCCCCACGGGTAAAATCTTGATGTAGACTGTTCGACCGAAGTAATCGAGTCCAATGTGACCTCGTTTTGATTCGTAATCGAGACCCATCATTCGACTACAACATGACAAGAAATGTCGCGCGTAATCGAACGTATGGAATCCGATTAGGTCACAATTCAAAAGTCCTTTAAGAATTTCATCTCTAACAGGTAAAGTTCTGTAGATTTCTGAAGATGGAAATGGGCTATGGAGGAAGAAACCGAGTTTGATTCGGTTACAACGGTTTCTCAAGAAAGTGGGAAGGATCATAAGATGGTAGTCATGAACCCAGATGTAATCGTCTTCTGGATTAGCAACTTCCATGACTTTATCCGCGAATATTTTGTTAGCAGACACGTAGGCTTTCCAGAGAACTCGGTCAAATCGGTCAGCATGATCCGGGCACATGGGGAGCATGTAATGGAAGAGAGGCCATAGTTGATGTTTACAGAAACCAGCATAGTATTTTTTTTGAAGGTCCTGAGGAAGAAAAGTGGGGACACAATTGTATTCATCTAGAAGCTTCTGAGCAACTTCTTCTTGCTCTGTTGCGTCTACTTCGACTTTGAGTGAACCGATGTAGATAAACTCAGTTTCGGGAGAAAATCCGTCTTTTAATTGCCATAAAAGTGAATCTTCATCAAAAGTGAAGGTCAATTTTAGAGTGTCGGGATCGCGTTGAATGTGTAAAGGTAACATGTTTGCTACTATGATTTTTCTCTCTCGACAAGTTTTATCGGAATTGGAGTCGTTGTTGCTATCGGCGATGATTCCAGGTATGGTCATGACACGTGGAAGAGATCTGGGAGTTTGAGGGATGTCTAATAGCTTATCCGGATCCAAATCCAAAATGTTTGCATACGATTTTGATGCCATATCACCTGTAATTTGTAAAGTAGAATTCATTGTTAAAAATAGGGTTTTGCAGAAAGGGGAAACTACCCAAGTTCTAGTCAAGTTCTTCGATATGAATATGCATCCATGGCAAATAAGCATCTATGCAAAATTCAGAAATTGACATTATCGTCGGTATTTCCCTGAATGGTAGCAGACAAATTACGTCCTCCTATCCAAAAAAAGGACAACAGTTTTGGAGTTTGATGTCAATTGCGTTAGCATCTGATTTGAACATTGATAATGATATTGATTGTACACTTTTCAGATTCGTTTACTCTTTTTATTACTGCAACATAATATAGTAGAATTCGTTTATAATCTACAACAAATCGCTATCGATTATCTATTATCGATTTTGCATTTGAAAATACTAGTCTTCAAGTTTGTTGTAAAACATTCTCGAAATTGAGGGGATCAGGATTCAGAAGAAGTTAAATCGTTTCTTAAAAGATCCAAAACGAAATGATTGCTTCAAACTACAAAAAGGAAACGCACAGCAGGCGTTACTATCATCTAAAAATAGGATAAAAAACACTTTTCTTCGTAAGGAAACTTTCCATTAGCGTGAGTTCGTGATTGAATTAATACCTAATATGAGTGAAGTAACTGAAGATATCTAAATTCCTTGCCTAAATTAATAGTAATTCTTACCTAAAACGCCGATCTTCTTATAACCTTAAGAATCCTGTAATTTTCTGCAAAAATGAGAAACAGAATGAGAAAGAGAAAGAGACAGTTCATTAACTTTCATACAAAACCAAACATCATTTCCATGAAAACAAAGAGCGTCAATTGGAATTAAGAACTGGACATAGATCATATGGATGTGGAGATATAAAAGCATCCATTTCATGTCGAGACTTACTTTGAGACGATACGTGCAACCGTTTGTTTTGAAAATGGAAGTCCGGCGCGGAGGTGAATGGCGTTCCTCCGGCAAAGAACGGCGGTGGAGAGATTGCTCGGTGTTGTATGAGAGAGAGAGAGAGAGAGAGAGAGAGACTGTAATAGCGTGGGGGTTAATATTGGGAGGGGTGGAGAGAGAAGGGATAAAGTTGACATTACTTCACCATAGTTAAACATTGGGAGCTCAACCATGGTTTAAGGATCGAGTTTAACATATCATTTTACTGAAATACCCTTTACTTTACCAACATACTTTCGTTATGCCATTGCCTTTCTAATGGGATTTTTGTTTTTGTTAATCCGAAGTCCAAACAAATATTTGTATTTTTATTAATTATTATTCTGATTTGAAACATAGATGAGAAATTGGTTTTTACTGTGTTTAAACTAATAGATTTTATATTTTCTTATCTTATTAATGGTTAAATAATTAAAATCTCTTTTGCTTCAATTCTTGACTAATGGAATGATGAATGACTTAAATGGCTAAATTCATAAAATAAATAAAATAATAGAATAGGACATTAAATTATATGAGTATAGTTGTTGACATATACGAAAACGAAATGGATTATCATAAAAAAAAGTGTTATTGGTAAATACAACATATTGTATGCTATATATTTATTATTATAATCAATAATGTTTGTATTTTAAAATCATAAAATTAAACATAATAAAAGTTATATCAGGTGGACTAATGATGATTTAGTGATAGTTTGATAGTAAACAATATAGTAGACCCGGTAGGATTCACAGAAAAACAGACGAAATGAATTTATACTAACAAAAAATATTTCCAATTATTTTATTCACTAATGTCCTATATATATATATATATATATATATATATATATATATATATATATATATATATATATTAAAGCTCATTAGATGTTTCAACAGTACATTTTTCCTTATTCTGATTTTTGTCACTTTATTCTGCTACTTCATATTTTTGCCACATAAATTTTTCAAATTGGCAGTTTGGCCCTTGGTCAATGCTGGGGATTTATAATTTTACCACTTTACTATTACTTTTTATAATTTTGTCACTAAAGTTTCAACAAACTTTTCCTCTTTATAATTTTGTCACTTTTTTTAATTCTTTATATTTTTGTCATTAAACTTTCACTTTTACTTATTTACAACCCTTTTTCTTTACTTCTTTATAATTTTGCCACTAAAGTTTCAACAAACTTTTCCTCTTTATAATTTTGTCACTTTATTTTTAATTCTTTATATTTTTGTCACTAAAACTTTCACTTTTATTTCTTTACAACCATTTTTCTTTATTCTTTATTATTTTTGTCTACCGTATTCTTCTATCATTTTTTTTTCTAAAAAGATTCAGTTGTGACTTTTCTTAGATGTTTTTTTTTTCTCAAAAGTGTTCCGTTTCTTTAGTCCATTTACAGTCCTATTTTTCAACATTATTCTATTTTGATATTTTTTTCTTCTATTATCAACCCGAACTTTTTAACATTCAGACTTTCGTCACATATTTTCTAAAAAGTTTCCAAATTCAATCAATTTTCTTTATTCTTTGTAATTTTCGTCATTATATTCTTCTACCCTTTATTTTATTTTTTTTCTAAAAAGAATGACCCGTGCAACGCACGGGCCTTTTCCTAGTTCTTATAAATTGATGTGTATTATTAAAAACCACATAAATAAAAGTAGATTATATTATATCCTTTTTCATTTCAATCGGGTGTAGAGTTTATTAAAAATGAAAGGAAATTTGATGGAATGGTTGACTTCATTGATCCGACAAAATAAACAACTTCTTACACTATGAATTATTACTTCATCTTTTAATTTCATCACATTAAATAGATCTTGGTTTTAGGTCATGTATAACAAATCGATTATCTTTATAAGATAAACTTACTTAGTTTTCAACTTTTAACACAAATTTTTCACTCTCCTTTTAGAAGTCTATTATTTTTTTTATTATAATGTTTTTTCACAAAACCATGTTGTATATTTGGTTCATAATTTATCACGTACTTGCATAATAATTTCTTTTGGAACATCAGAAATATATAAACAAACGGCTCTAAGTGTAACATTCGGATCTCGAGGTACTTCACATTTTCAATTTTTGGCATTTTAGGGTTTGCCACAGTGTAGTGGAGGCACCACGACGTGGCAAATCAAGATAAGACCGCGTGTTCATTTAAGCCGCCACGGCATGACAGTATATGGTCACGACGTGACAGCTAGCAATTGACAAACCCAATTTTTCGGGTTTTGTTCCCTATTTAAAAGAATGAGGAGGCTAGGGTTTGCTCCCTATTTAAAAGAATGAGGAGGCTAGGGTTTGCTCACCCTCAACCTCCATCAACCTCTTTGAGACCTGAGAAACCTTAATCCCCTTGCTCTTTTATTTAAGCCCTTTTTGTGTCCTTTGAATCCATTGAAGGAAGAAAGAAGAATAAGTGAGCTAAGATTCAACAAGAAAGTCCTCATCCTTTGTTGTAGCACTCTTCTGGACATGTAAGTGTCCAATACTCGATTTTTTATCATTGATAGGTTGCTAGATCTTGAGTTTTATCCCTAAATCTTCATGCTATTGTTGGTTGGAGTTGTGAGATCTCAAAAAGTTTGCAACTTTATGAATCTCTAGGCCATTGAGGGTATTTGGTGCTTTAGGTCTTGATTAGTAATGATTTTTGGTGTCATGCATGGATTTTTGGCCATAAACCCTCTTTTTGACCTAATGGGAGTTCACGACATGCATTGGACATGCATGTATGGAAAGCATGGAAACCTTTCTGGAAGTGTTGGACTAGGTCTTCAACATTAAGTGCTTATTGGTTTAAGCCAAGTTGTTTTTTGCCCCTTTTTGGACCTAGGAGTGAGATCTTTATCTCTTGGAGAGTCTAAAGGGATAAAGTTGGAAACTTTATCCACTTTGACCATAAAATGGACCAGATATGAGCTTTGGATCCCTTAGAATCGAAAAAAACGGCTTAACTGTCACACCCCCGAACCAGAAGGCGGAAACGTCGGGGGCTTATGCGTGAATTCATCATTGTAGTATTATCACATAGTATATAATTGAAACATAACATCATCATTATCACACATGTAATATAACAACATACATTGTTTACATCGAGTATTGTGTTTGAATATTACATGCCAAAATAATTAAAGTATGATGAAATAAAATATAACAAAACATCCATTAGTTTGTTCAGCCCAACCTGCTTCAACGGTTTCCTGAGAATACAAGTTAATTTAAAAAGGTCAACATAAAAATGTTGGTGAGTTCATAAGCATGTTTGAGAAAATGATTTGTATAACTTTGTAATCACAAGAAAATCCTGTATTTTCTTAAAATAGTTTAGTATGTTTGTGTCAGATCTTGTATTAATGCATGTGTGTTATTGTTTAATAGAATGCCAAAAGTTAATGAAGATAATGTAAAGAGAATGTAAAGAGAATGCCCCCAGGCAACCCTATGTTTCATGTAAAAGAGAATGCTGGTATGTCAACTCCCGAGGTCGAGTACCGGCACGAGTATGTTCCCGAGTAATCCACAGAGAAAAGAGAATGGTCTCCTGTAAATTTCATAATGTTAATTCCTCTAAGTGAGTCGTTATAACCATACTAGATAATGACAATTTTGCCTGTCTTAGCGTTGTTGAACGCTGACGGAAAATAGAATAAGGTTTTCGTCATCCTAGTCTGGTTTAGTCTAACTGTAGCGAACAGCTCAGGTGTGGGGTGTCATCCCCGTATAGATCTATACACAAACCCCCGCTCTCCCTCCAAGAGACTCTGGTTATAACTACAGGCTACGATCGTACACTCAGTAGGTGTCAACCGACACGTCTCACTAGATCCTTAATCGAATTTACGCGAAGAGAAACATATAAAACACATTTCAGGCCCAATGAACCATGTAAGTGAACAACTAAGGCTCACTAAACATGTAAGTCATTTCCAGGCTCGAAAGGAATGAGATTATATAACATGGGCCCAAAATATATGTAAAAGGACAACTAAGGCTCATTTCACATGTAAGGTATTTACAGGCCCAAATAGCACGCAAAGAGTATCCAAGGTCCGTCGAGCATGTTAATGGGTCAATGAGGCCCAATAAACATATAAAGAGTATCCAGGAACTATCAAACATATAAATGGATCACTAAGGCCCAATAACCATGAGAATTACATAATTAGCCCGTTTGTTATTATATTGCTACTTTTAGCTCAATTATTTACCAAAATGACATAAAAGGCCCACATTTTGTAAAAATGACATTCTTGGCCCATTAAGCCAAGAATTTACAATTAAAGTCCAATTTTGGTAAAAATAACATTTTAGGCCCCTTTTTGGACAAAACTTGCATTTAAGGCTAGTTTTTGTAAAAATAACATTTTTAACTCACTTTTGTCAAAAACATCATTTTTGGCTTGATTTTTATAAAAAAAGTATATATTTTCGGCCCATTATAGATAATTTCATCTTTTTGGCCCAAATTTTTATAATTTCACATCTTTAACCCTTCTTATTAAAAATTTACATTTTTGGCACAACTTTCTTGAAAATGACATTTAAGCCCACAAAAGATCAAAAATTACAATTTTTTTGGGCCCAAAACCGTGAGAAGCCCAAATAAGACCCATTTATGAAAATGTTTACATTTTTAGTCCTTGTAAGGTCTTAAATGTCGAAATTTGCCATGTTTAGCAAAAAAATCCTTTTGAGCCCCTTACTAGCCGTGAGTTACACAAATAACCCATTCTTTTGTCATTTTGTCACTTTTATCCCCTTTTATGAAGTTTTTCTTAGCTTTAAGTAACTTATATGTGTTTTAAACCTTTTTCTTGTAAGATAAGTTGAAATAAGTGTTATGTTATACCAATATCATCATCTTTTAGTAGATCTTTAAGTTCATGAAGTTTACAACACATAAACACATATATAACTAGAAAAACACACAAAATCATGCATACACACATAGATCTACACAAAACAACTTGTATTCTCCCCCAAAACAAAGTAAAAATTGAAAATAGGGGGTATGAACTCACTTTGCTTTGAAGTTTTCGGTTTTTGGTGAGGAAATGAGAAGATCTTGGCCCTAGTAAGCTTCTTGAGAAGGTTTTCGAGATCTATGAAGTTTTAAGAGCATAGATCATGAAATGATGTGGGTTAAGAAGAGATTTTTGGT